AAAAACACCAAATATAGTCTAAAGTAAAGAAGCAAAATAAAAATGTATTCCAAGACATAAATGAGGGTAAATTTACCTGGTGTCAGTAAAACAGAATTAGAAATTTGAGCTTGAATTAAATTTAATGAATAGATTTCCATCTTGATTTGTTGGATTATCACAGCTCGACTATTTTACAGATTATGAATGATCACCTACTCTCGACCAGTCCTAAACCAACTTTTAATTAAAACTCCAACAATTCCAACTTGGTACTTACCCTGTTTGATAATTTTATTTTATTTTTTAAATCTCTTTTAGAGATTGGCACCTGAGCTAACAGCTGTTGCCAATCTTTTTTTTTTTTTCTGACCAAATCCCCTCAGTACACAGTTGTATATTCTAGTTGCGGATCCTTCCAGTTGTGGCATGTGGCACACCGCCTCAACATGGCCTAATGAGCGGTGCCATGTCCACACCCAGGGTCCGAACCCTGGGCCGTGGAAGTGGAGCATGCAAACTTAACCACTCAGCCACATGGCTGGCCCCTGTTTGATCATTTTAACTGTCACCTCTCATCCAGAACCAGGGCACTTCCTTTGAATCACCCAAATCCTCCCAATATGTTCAATTTAGTGATTTTTCTCATTACTTCATCCTCCCCACAAAGAGATGATCAACTGTTTCATTTTCAACTCTAATTCCACTGACTCTTCAGGAATCAACCCTTTAAAGCCCAATCCCCGATAACACTAACCAGCCATTCTTCCAGCTCCTATTTACAGGTATAAGAGAAATACTAGGGAAAAACCAAAAACAAAGCAAAGTTGATAGGCTAAAAGTGTTTAAAGAATACCCCAATTTATCCATTACCACTTATTACTTTCTACTCATACATGAAATTCCCAGGCACAATCTCCAATGACATTAGAACTTCTTTAAAATACAATGTACTTTTCCTACAAAACCTTCCTCTGGATGCTTTATAACTTCTCTCCTTCTTAATTACTTACAAGTTTGATAGCTATTACTGATGAGGTCAATTGTTATTCTGCCAAAAAGGAGAACGAATCCTCAAGGCTTCACCTGCCTTTCCATCTGCCTCTCTATCTTAACATGACTTTGTCTCTGTATTTTCCTTGTCCCATTCCTTCCATTACTTCAGAAAATGAGATTGTTGTTCCTTTTCTCCTAGAGAACTTTTACTACCTATCCTAAGGAGCTCATATTATTCTGACTTTTCAGTGACCTTGTCCCCACATCGGTCCTTTTTGGCAAAATCTTTCTTACTCCATGAGCTCCTTGATGCTGTTGCATTTGACAGTGGTAACTGACCACTTTTTTATCACAGTCTCTCTCCCAGACTATCATGGCATTGTCCTATTTCTAGTTCTCATTCATATCTCAAATTGTGCCTCCAATAGTTTCTTTTACACTCTCTTGTTCTTAATGCTTAGCATTCCCCTCCCCTCAGCAAGTTTAATCTTTATTCCTGTTTTCTCTATGTCTACTGGAGAACGGGGTGGAAGAGGGAGTGGGGAAATAGAGGGAGGATAGGGAGGATGTGTATGCTGGCAATTCGTAGTTTCTTACATATATTGGGATGGAAAAAAATTGAGAACTATTGCTCACCACTATCCATGGAGAATTCATTTATTCTCGCAGCTACCATACTTCTATCTATGCAGTAATTCCCCAATTCAATTTTCAATAATTTTGACCTCTTTTCTGAGACCCAGCCCATGCTTCTAAAGGCATATGAACATTTATATTTTTATGTCCCACTATCAACCATTTCCAACCGGACACAACCAAAGTTTGACATTAACTTTCCCATCTAAAGCACCTTCTCTATCTTTTGAATGAGCCAAGCAATCTCTACTACCCAGATTAGAAAAAGTGGTGTCATCTCCTTCATTTCCTATACCTAGTTAGTGATCAATTCATCATTTAGGCTGTGACATTATCCTCATCAAAAAGAAGGGGCAAAGGGGCTGGCCCCGTGGCCGAGTGGTTAAGCTCTCGCGCTCCGCTGCAGGCGGCCCAGTGTTTCGTTGGTTCGAATCCTGGGCGCGGACATGGCACTGCTCATCAGACCACGCTGAGGCAGCGTCCCACATAGCACAACTAGAAGAACCCACAACAAAGAATATACAACTATGTACCAGGGGGCTTTGGGGAGAAAAAGGAAATAATAAAATCTTTAAAAAAAAAAAAAGAAGGGGCAAAGAATTCCCCATCCAAAAGAACTATCCTCATCGATTCTTCCTGCTACACTCGCAACAATCTTACCCCTAGCCTAATCTCAAATGAAAAGACCACTTTCATCATGTCATTCCTCTGTCCAGTAATTTATAATAGCTCCCTATCATCAGCTATATACAAAGTCTAAACAATCCTAGTGATGGGTCCTCTGAAATCTGACAACTACCTTTATAGTCTATTTACTATTTTTCTCTACTATAGCATTTTTCAAACTTTTTGGTCTCAGGACCCTCTACAGTCCTAAACATTATTGAGGACCCCAAAGAGCTTTTGTCTATGTGGGTTATATCTATCGATACTTACCATACTGGAAACGAAAACTGAGAAAAATTTTAATCACAAGAATACAAAAGCACACATTCCACTAACTGTCAGAGCAATGATGTCATCACACATCATGTAGCCTAGAAAACTTCACTGACACTTGTGAGAGAATGACAGTGAAAAACGCAGATAACATAGTATTATTATGAAAATAGTTTTGACCTCTAAAACCCTTGGCTCACTTTGAGAACACTGCTCTATCCAACCTTGCTTCTCTTAAACCGTCTCCCTATCAATCATTGATGATTACTGATGAGTAATTTTTGTGTGCAGCAATAGCCTGGAGGCAGAAAGGCTAGGAAGCATAGATTTATAAAATAACCTCCAAATTCATTAGCATGTCTGCTCATTCCCAGCCTAACCCAACCTATCAATTTTATTTCCTGCTATTGCCGTTTCCTTCCCCTCCTCCTCTGCACTGCAACCAAGGCTGGAGTCCCCAGATAGAATAACCCCTTTTCTGCTTCAGCATCTTTGATTATGTACACTATTCCCTCTGCCTGGAAGGCCTTCTCTCACTCATTCTTCAGACCCAGTTCATAGGTTACCTCTTCTATGAAGCTTTCCCTTGACACATCCCATTCCCAATTACCCTTTCTCTGTAATTCTATAGCACATTTAGAACTTTTCACATTGTACTGTAATTATTGTTTATATGTCTGTCTCTCCAGTAATAGTGAACTAAATGAGGGCAGGCTTACATCTTACTCATCTTTGTATTTCTAGTACTTCGCACATAGTGGGAACCCAAATGTTTAATCATCCACTGAAGCCACTCTTTCAACGAGTCGGCTCAGTGCTCATCTAGCCCCAAATATTCCAGATCACAGTATTTGCTCCTTCCTCTGAACTTCTGGAGTACTATATAGAAACTAAGAAGACAGAAAAGCCTGAAGGAAATTATTATTCCTTCCTACAACTCTCTCTAGTCTGACATTCAAGGGTCTTCATCAAATGGCTCTTCTTCCCCTTTACAATTTTATTTTCTATTATTCTCCTATATGAACTTACCATTCCTGTCATCCAATACACACACACACACACACAATATCCATTCTATTTTCATCACTTTTGTTTACACCCTTCCCTCTCCCAGGGATTCCATTTTCCTATTCTTTTAAATTTTACTTTTCCTTAAAAGCTTGGTTCAAGACCCACAAATTCCATGAGGCTCTCTGGGACTATGCCAGACCAAAGGAAAATTTCCCCTTTTGGGATATCTAATGCATTTCAATCTGTTTCCTATAACCCACTATTTATAGTGTACTGTTTTGCATAGTTCTTTAATAATTTCAAGTAAAGCAATGCTGCAACCCCAAAGAGCTCGACAGCTCTTCAAGAGCAGACGCAGTCTTCCCTCAAAACATTTGAGTGCCATTAGGTACCACGTATTGGTAAGATTTCTAATCTTATTTCTTTTGCATCAGCCCTTGCTAGTAACAGGAAGACAAAAGCATGTAATAAATACTATTCCCTTTACTTGATTTTCTTCCTAACAGGTCAGAATAATCCAGATGTTTTTCCTGGGGACATTTTATGTGTAGACACAATTATCAATTTGAAAATAAAATATGTGCTATAAGATGCATCTTCTCAGCACCCTAAAACTGCAAGCTTAAATAAGACACTTCATTTACAGGCAACTCACGCTGAGGTTTCAATACACTTACTTTTGAAGGGCCCTTCTCTTTTTTGCTCCTTTACCTCGAATATATCTTATTGTAGTTGCTACAATTTCAGCTCCCTTAACACATTCTGATGAGTGGTTAATAATAATGCCAAACTACTTAAGTAGATCCAAAGAAATGAGGCAAGTAAAAATCACGCATAAAACGAAAATATAATCTTTGAAAACCAAGAAGAGATGGTAATTGAGTCTCAGACCAATGCTCTTCCTTAAATGGAATTTGTCTAAGGGGCCACATCTTCCCTGTCACCATTTCCTTAAGTATCCACACCCAAATGGAGCAAGCATTAGTTGGAAAATAGAGCAAACAAAACCATCAAAACTCGCTCCCTGATATCATGGATTCATGGTATCTTCTGAAGATCATTCCCCCAAATTCTTCACTCTTCTGCATATGTGATAAAGTCAGTAAGATAGAAATAACATTCAAAATATAGTTTTTAAAAAATCGTAGGTTTTAGGATGCTCTAAGTCCTAGTTGTTTGCAAGTCTATCAACCACAACTGAATGTTGAACGCTCATTTAAACATTACAAGAGAGACCTGAGGTTGCCGGCAATTCCTTCTGATATACATATGAGAATATTCTTTCAACAAGGGAGTCCCGGAATGAATTTCGCGTAAGAAGAAAAGGGGCCTCATGACGAGGAAAGAAAGGAGGAAGCCATCAGCTGACATGCAGCAGCTCCCTCACCCCGTTTTCTCCCTCCCCAAAAGTGTAGGGAATAGAAAGCTGCATAATGTACCTTCCAGGCCAGAAGCAAAACATTGAGGATGGCCAGCAAAGGGCAGGGTCCATTCTCATTCTGGGTGATGATGGGTGTGTTCTCTTCCTTCCACTGGATCCACTTGATGTGATAGACAGATTGTCCCGGGAAGCGTTCCTTGGAGGCCGCCAGCACCTGAGCTGCCTCCCCCTCCTCCTCCTCCCCCTCCTCCTCCCCTTTGCACAGAGGCACAGCCCCGGGCAACACTGCCGCGCCCTCCTCCTCCTCCTCTTCCTCGGGGACCCTGTTCTCAGCTCCCTCCTCACTATTGAACTCGGAGCTACTGGGGAAAGAATGCAGGTTCGAGAATGACTCCAGGGAGTCCAGGCTCGGCGATTCCCCAGGAGGGCTCGGGTCGCTGCAGCTGCTGCTGAGGCCGCCGGCGCTGCTGGGCTCCTCCGAGCCCGCGGCCGCCGACTCCGCCCGGCAGGTGCCGGTGGGATCCGGGCGGGCGCCCGCGTCTCCGGCCGGACCCAACCCATGGCCCGCTCCGGCCTCGGCTGTCTCGGGGGAGGCGGTCACCTTGTGCTGCCCTCCCAGCAGCGCCTTCTGGGCAGCAGGACTGGCCAAGTCGCTCTCCTTCAAGTCGGAGCCCGAGAAGGAGCTACAGGGTCCGGGAATCGGAGGAGAGCCGGCGGGAGAACCCGACTTCGGGAGGCTCCTCCTGGCGGCCGCCGCCCCCTGCCCATTCCCGCCGTCGCACTCCGCCGCCCATACTCCAGGACCATCCCCAGCGGCGAGCCTCGTCTCCTGTCTCCCTTCCTGCGGATAGCCTGTCCCTGGCGCTGGCACAGCGGCCACCCCGTTTTCTAGCGGCTGCAGGCTCTCAGGGCCGCTCTCCATACCCAGCCGCCCGCCCCTCGCTCTAAAGAGACCGCGGCGGGTTCTCCTCAGCCAGCGCCTCCGACGCCATGACAGCGGCCCTGGCAGATACGGCGCCCTTGCGCGGCCTCGGCCAGGCACGTCACGGGGGAGGGCCCCGGGAGCGCGCGCGCGCGCCGCCGCGCTGTCGGCCGGCTCTGGGCGTGCCTGCGCGCCGCCGGGCGAGGGCGAACTGCGCAGCTGCGGCCCAAACGGCCCCGCCCCCTCCTCGTGCTCGTGCGCCCGAGCTCGCGCTCGGAAGGCGGGGTGTGGCGGGCGTGGCCAGGAGGAAAACATTCTCTCCCTCTGTGGCCGGAAGTTGAACTCTGGGGCAGCCCGACCGCGCGGCTTCTTTAAAGGCTCGGCGGGCGGCGGGCAGTCGTGTTGTGCTCCTTTCGAGCTGGGTGGTGTGTGGCCCAGCCTGAGGCTCGGGGATGGGGAGTTGGCGGTAGTTGTAGTATTTGGCACAGAGCTCCTCCCCGAAGGGCTCAGGAGATTTGTTTCCCCAGCTTGTAATATGGAAAATTGAAGGAATTTCTTACGAGATACAGATGTTAAAGGCTGGGATCTACTGGAGGTGTTTGGATTACTACACTGCACAAATTCCAGTCTCCCTCGGTTTTGGCTGAGAAACACTGTGCTCCCCACCAGCTACTGGTGAAAACGCTCGCCCTACATGAGGCGTCAGTGCGGTTGTGGATATTGGCCTGCGCAGCAAAAAAAGTGGGTAATTTGGGCCAATCATAATAAATTAGCTTATGCTTGCATTAGCCAAGTCTGCGGTTTGGTTAACTTGGCCTCACCTTGCATGGAGTGGGAAGTGCCTGTTCCTGAAAAAGCGACTTTTCTAATTAGAATTGACTCCTCTTAAGGCCGTGCAGATTTCAGAGAGGACAGAGCAGGCTGGAAGTTTTATTGGTGACAAAATGGATTTAAGTCCTATTCTCATCTGTTCCCGCCAAGGGCTTTTTTTCTTTTCCTTTTTTTGCTTTTTTGTCTTTCAACATTTTCTAGTCTCCGGGGATGCAAAAGTTGACGACACTTTTTCCTTCGTAGTCAGGTATATAATACCTGATACCTAATAGAATGTGATCTTTTTGTATCTTTTGGTTAGAGAAGGTAGACACAATTACAAAGTAGTGTTTCATTCACTCAGTAGCAAGTACATTGCTGGTTACTGTGCTTGGCAGTGGAGATGTCGTGGTGACTAAGATAACAGGGCTCATACCATCATGGGGTTTACTGTCTAGTGTTTTTTGCTTATTGGTATATTTTTCATACTTGCTTGGAAACTATGGTTTCCTGAGAATGCAGAAGATGGAGCTCCTTCCACCTTTTTACATTGATAGAATATTATGATATTTATCCAACTCCTGGAAAAGAGGAAAATTAAGAAAGATAATGGAAAGCTTCTTCAGAATGTTGAATTTAGGAGTTTTGTGTATTTTTGGTCTCCATGTCAATCCATAAGCCATAAATACTATTGGTCAAATTAGAGTTTTTCCCTGAGAAAGAATTGCAAATGTTAACAGATTAAGATATATGCTGCTGGATTAAGCACTTTGGAGTATTTAAGGCCTTTAAGTGCAAATGAGAATATTATAGACTTCAAGAAATTCAGAATTTAGCGTGGTGCTTTGATTATAAAAAGATTGGTAAAGATGCATTATATGAATAGATTGAATGAATGAATCATTTACAGGCCACAAACCATAGTAGACCCCAAAATTGTGAAACACACATCTCAAATAATGGCCTTTCACCATTTTTCAAAAACTCTACTGAAATAAACCTGTACTTGCTCTGGTAGTTTTTATTGGTATATGTTTCAAATGCTCACATGCATAATTTAGTAGTTTATTTATAACAGAAAGAAACAGAACCAATTTTTCTTTTCATACGTTGTCAGTGATTATATAAGCCAAGATGAACAGCCATGAAAATGTGTGTATTTATGTAAGTTTGTGAAAATGTACATAGTTGTTTTTCCAAGGGAGGTGGGGAGTAGCATCTAGGGAGAAGAAAGTAAACTGAAAATGTCTCAGTCTTATATGACTTGTATGTATTTTTAGCTAAATGTGAGATAAGATGTATCATTTTAAAATAAAATGGTTATTATCCAAATTTTTAAAATTACTTTTCTAAGTTACAGATAGAATAGTCTTAAAAGTCAAATAATTTATATAAAAACAAAGCAGTTCCCTACTCTATCCCTCCACACTTTTGAGTGTTGTTCTTTTTTTCCTTTTTTTTTTTTTTGAGGAAGATTAGCCCTGAGCTAATGTCTGCTGCCAATCCTCCTCTTTTTGCTGAGGAAGATTGGCCCTGAGCTAACATCTGTGCCCATCTTCCTCTACTTTATATGTGGGATGCCTACCACAGCATGGCTTGATAAGTGGTACATAGGTCCGCACCTGGGGTTTGAACCAGTGAACCCCAGGCTGCAAAAGCAGAGCATGTGAACTTAATCACTGCGCCACCAAGCCAGCCTAAGTGTTTTTTAGAAGCAGTCCCATTCAACTCCTATATATTCTTTAGCTTCTATTCCTGTATTTCTGAGTAACATGATTACACTCTGCTTTCTTCATTTAGAAATTGTAGGGGCCAGCCCAGTGGCACAGTGGTTAGGTGCGCACGTTCTGCTTCAGTAGCCCGGGGTTTGCTGGTTGGGATCCCAGGTGCGGACATGGCACCGCTTGTCAAGCCATGCTGTGGTAGGCGTCCCACATATAAAGTAGAGGAAGATGGGCATGGATGTTAGCTCAGGGCTAGTCTTCGTCAGCAAAAAGAGGAGGATTGGCAGCAGTTAGCTCAGGGCTAATCTTCCTCCAAAAAAAAAAAAATTGTAGACATCATTTATTGATTTATTCCCATGAAAGATGAGGAGTTAGTTCTTTTCTCTCACACCATTCTTCCTCGCCTTGCTCCAACTTCCCAATTATTTCAAAATTTTTACTTAAATAAAGTACTCATAGTTTAAAGCATTAAAGTTATGTAAATATTATTCACCACTAAGTCAGGTATTTTACTATGACTATGATTATATTTCTTTTCCTGTTAAAGTTTTTGTTTTTCCTGGAATTAATAATTACTTCATCATTTTGTTTGCTTAACTCTTCACTTAACAGTAATTCAGCCACGGCCTTATCACACAGACTGACTCAACCATATCAGGTTACCTCTCAGACCCATTTTAATCTTGGGTACATCCTCTGGGAACACACGCTTTGCTTGCTCTGATCTGGACTTGCTGTGTTACAGGCCTGCTGCACAGCTGTCTTCCTAGGATGTCTCTTTCACTATCGTCTTAGGAATTCCTTCCTCCTCTCTTCCATGTTGATTCCTTTCTTTCTTGGATCTCCTGTCTTCCTCTTTTTTTGATTTGGTGGAACACATTCTTAGTTAACTTCCCAAGAAAGAGTGCATAGGAAGCATATTTTGTGGATTGTGTATCTTTGAAAAGAAAGATAGACCTTTATTCTATTTTTACATTTTATAGTGTGGCTGGATATAAAATTCAATGTTGGAAATACTTTTTCTTCATTTTGAAGTCATGGAGCAATTGCCTTCCAGCTTCCAGCTAATTGTAGACTAGTCTGATACTGTTAGACTCCAGAACCTTTGTGTATAACCTATTTCTTTTCTCTGAAGTTTATTTGATCTTCTTCTTCTTGGAGTTCTGACATTTTGATACTTGATATATCTTAGGGTGGGTCTTTCTTTACTCATTGGGCTGGGTACTTGGTGACTACCTTCAATGTAGAAACTTACGTTCTTTGGTTCTGGGAAATTTTCTTTTTTCATTTCTTTTATAATTCTTATCTCTTCTCTAATTTTATTTATCTTTTTTCTACTTTCTAAGAGGTTTCCTCACCTTTATCTTTCAATTCTTTTTAATACATTGTTTATTGATGCTATTTTATATTTAATTTCCAAGGGTTCTTTCTCATTTGTTTTTATTGTTCAATGTCATCCTGACTTTTCATTTCTTAGAATATTTATCATAATTTTTAATGTATCCTTTACATTTTTCAAAGGATATCTGAACCATATGCTATAAAAAAGTATACTTAGTGTGGAGTTATTGATAGTTCCAGAGAGTGAGATATGGGGGATACAGGCATAACACATTGGTTTTACTCTTTGGGAGGGCAAAATCTGTTTTGGGAAATAAGACATTCACATGAAATGATCATTGAGAATATGTCAGTTAATAATACTAAATGAGTGGTATGAACAATAACTGTGATAAAAATTCAGATGAGGAAAATAATCTTTTAATGTGAGATAATTAAGGAAGCATTAAACTCCACTCTCCTAATTAAAATCACAGGCTGATTGTTAACTCAGGTTAAGAAATCCAAAAAAACATATCTCTAACTCTTGAAATGATTATTCTTTTAAAAGTCTCTGGTTTTTTTTAGTTAGATCATAGCTTTTCTAGCCTACCATGACAGAAAAGTTGGTGCTATCTTTGACTTGTACCCTAGTTTATTTACTGGCCACCATCTCATCTATCAAGTCTTGCTGATATTATATACGCCTTTCCTCCTTCGTTCTTCTGTAGCCACCCCCTCGCTGAGTCCTTATCCATTACTACAAGAGCATCGCAGCATTGTAATTATTCCCCAGCCTATGTTTTTCTCTTCCTCAGCTTATCCTGCATAAACCTGTAAGAGCTATAATTCAGACATCTTGCTTTTATTTTGTTGATGGTTCTACTACAAATAATTTGACCATTCTTTATTGTTAGATGAATTAAGATTGGCTCTGAGCATATAAACCTTTACTCCTCTTCACTTAGCTTTCTACTCAAGATATGGTGATAAATTTCTAAGTTAAAATCAAGGGTTTCCATGTAATTCAAATTGCCCTGGCTCTGGCTCTCAGCTGCTTATGCAGAACTCCAGCCTCCTACAAAGCACATTCCCCATTTAATTATTTCTGAGAGCCCCCATGAGGAGTCCCACACCTGTTCAGAAACAAATCCAATCCTATGATATTGAACCAGGTGCTCCTTCTACTCCATGCTGCTTCACCAGATGCTAGTCTGTCCTGGTGGTGTTAAAGATGCCTAATGGTGACTGGAGGGAAATGACCTTCTTTTCCCTTTTATTATAGC